GTATTGAATTAAATGAGTTTAAAATGTAGGCGGGAATCGAGAGTTAGCGTTCGTAGTTCTTTAACATTTTTTTTTGTTCATATCGTTGGTCATTTTTAATGCTTTGTCTATCATAGAAATAAAGCCCTTTCATTAGGTCGATGCACACGACTTCACAGAAAATCATTTCGACCGAGCACTTCGTATACTCAGTCGTTATGCTTTTCTGTGAAGGTAATATATGAATGGATTGACGGGATGAAAGGGTGTTCTACCAAGGCTCTTTCTTTATTCCTCACTAAAATATTAACAAAAAGTGAAGGAGAAACTTCAAGAGTACTGTACAACGGTATATGGTATGGTATAAATCAGATGTGATTACTTAAAAACTCCTGGGAGGTTTTGGAAAATTTGAAATCTCAAAATTTTACCAAAATCAATAACATCAAAACGTACGACTTTTCAACACTTTATACAACCATTTCCAAAGATAAATTAAAGTCCAGGCTTTTTGAAATCATAGTAAGCTGCCTTTTCAATAAAAATGGAACTCGTAAACTTACTTACCTTGTCAATGGTCATTTGCAAAACTATTTTGTTAAAAAAATATTCTGATTGTACACACAACTACTCTGAAGTTGATATTAAAAGGATGCTTGAATTTCTGATAGACAATACCTATGTAGTTTTTTTGAGACCAGGTCTTCCAACAATCAGGCGGAATCTCCATGGGTACTTTTTGCACCCCATTATTACCAGAACTATTTTTGTATTCATATGAAGCAGAATTTATTCAAAAACTTATACATGAGAAGAAAAAAAATACTTGCTGAGGCCTTCAACTCGACATTTAGATATATCGACGACGTATTATCAATTAACAATAGTTACTTCCTTTCATATGTCGACTCAATATAATGTATATCCCAGTGAGCTTGTAATAAACATAATAAAACACACCCTTTTCCTTATCACACCCTGTATCAGTCCTCAACAAAAATAAGCCCTCGGGCCTTCGGTCCTAAGGCTGATATCGGTGGCTGATACAGGATGTGATATGGAAAAGGGTATATATATATTATTCTCTATATAATATCGGACTATCTAGGGTAGACCAACAAATTTTTATAGGACGTTTTTTTAAACTACTATGTGTGACCATTAAAAAGTATCTGCCAATTTTCTGCCAATGTAGCTCAAATGAAATATGGAGATAACGAACAGTAATCAAGCTCAAAAGTCTATTGAAGCAATACAAATTGGGAGCAGAGTAATACATAAAATATTGTCTCTTGAAACATCAGAGGTGGGATCAGGTGCCATGGAGGAGTTAGCATCCCCTGTCGATCGGTCACACCCACCGTGTGCTCCTTGTCATGATCGGGCAAACGGAAAAATCTGTAGATAATTCAGTGTGTAAATAATGACCTAACAATTAGTATGTCAAACTCTGACCTTTTTTCATACAGAACTGGCATATTATATACCCAATACATATCTCCCTTTCGGCACAATCCTAATAAAAAATTAATGAATACAGAAAATATAAGCCGAATCCTGAGAGGTATATATATACCATACGGAACACCTCGGACCTTTCACAGAAAAGCGCTATTATCTCTTTAATTTATACAAATCAAAGCTATAATTACATGTTTTATTATATGCATGATAAAAAAATCATATAAAAAGGACTTTAGGACTTACTTCAAATGTAGCTATTTTTTCAGCAAACTACTATTATTGGCTTCTGCCTCACCACATCTCCGACCGAATAACCCGCATTTTAAAGCATATTAATGCTTCGTTTCCGAGGTGTTTTTCTGTGCAATGCCCGAGGTGTTCCAGATGGTGAAGTCGAACTACTTTCGATCACATGGGTGCATTCATTTCCGAGGTGTTTCTGTGAAAGGCCCGAGGTGTTATTTTTTTTCTGTGAAAGTCTCGAGTTGTTAGGGATGACATAATTATATACTAGTCACAAAAACGACATTCTCTAAAGAAAAATTAAACTTTCTTTATGGGCAAGGTTCTCCAAAAGCAACAAGGATACTTTTTATTTTTTATTTTTGGTGCATTTATCTCAAGTAAAACCCATCGTTGTATACAAGCAGTGGTAAGAAAATTACTCCGTGGCGTAGTCACAAAAAGTGTGAAGTGGGGGGGGGGGGCTCACATGGTCTCCGAGACCGGCAAGATAAGGTTATTCGATGTTATTTACTATTCATGTATTTACTACATTACTCTTTCATCCTGAAAAAAAAGGAGGGGGCTGTGGTTAGGGCTTTAACAAGTAAATAGAAGACCATTGCATACAGATTTCTGACATTTGTGTGATGGAATCTCATTTAGACAAAAAATGGAGGGGAACAAAAAGATACTCCTGTCCTTTTTCAAACGGGTGGGGTGGGGGGGGGGTAAGGGGTTATGCTTCCTTTTCTCTGAGCTTATGATACTGGTCAATGCGGTTTTACTTTTGAGAATACCCTACTGGCAGTACCTTTATGAAGTAATGGATTTTTAAGTTCTTTTGTACCCTTGTACAAATCCTTTTCATATGACATTAGCAGGCTGATGTATAAAGAGAAGTAACTCTCCGTTTTATTAAGAAATTATTCCTCTTTGGTCGATAATGAATAAGTTATCGAAACTAACCCATGAACTGCCAAGAAGGGGTTGGATAAATTAACAGAGAATAATTCTCATTTAATTCATTTCAATTAAAAGATAGGGGAACAGCAGTACAGGGACTAACCAAACACAGCAGAAAGGTCATCTTGCTGGTTATGGTGGAGAAGAGCTGGAAGCCACCTACAGACGGTCAGTTATTTGACCAATCACTGCTGACTTTTAGGACGTTTTAATTAGCTAGGAGTCGTAACGATCGACGGCGGGTGAAGCTGGCCGATGACGTGTACGGATCCAGCAATTACAGCATCCTGACTATATAAGGTATCGCTCAAAGAATCACAAAACAAAAAAATGCCTTAATGTTACAATCCCAAATCTTTCGCTATCTTCTCAGAGAAGTCACGTCATTCAGAGATTTTACTACGTGTGCCTAAGAAAATGACGGCCCTGGTCAGGATACAATCAGAATTATATGTTAAATTTATAATATTGAATTTAAAAGAAATTTTTAAAGAAATAAAATAATTTTTAAAAGATTAAAAAGATCCGATTAGGAAAACTATAATTAAAAATAAATCTTGTGATTTATATTTGAAAAACTTGTTATTCATATTCCAGAATTGTTATTCATATTCCAGAACTTTTTAATTTATATGCAAAAACTTGTGATTCATATTCGATATAGACTTGCGTTTGCATGCAAATAGCATGCAAGACTTCGCATATAAACCAAAAGATTATCCCAAAGAAATCACAAGATTATCGAATATGAATAACAAGTTTTTGCAATTAAATAAAATTTGAATATGAATCACTTTTCTAATATGAATATCAACTTTTCGCACGTATATCACAAGATTGTAGCATATTAATCTCAAGATTATTAAATATGAATCAGAAGTTTTTGTATATAAATAACGAGTTTTTTAAATATGAAAAATCAACTTTTCGCGTGTATATCATATCTTATTATCGCTAAGAAATCAAACTATCGAATATGAATCACAAGTGTTTAAACATAAAATTTTACAGCACACTTTCGAAAATTAATATCAATTTTTGAATAACAGGTTTTCGAATATGAATATCAACTTTTCGAATATTAATTTCACGAATTAAATTTACGAATATGAATAACACTGATGCCCCGTATGGCTGCTCAAGGCCAAGGTAAAAAGTTTATCAAATGCCCAAACAAAGGTCTTGTCATAAGGATTACACAAGCGAAATATAATAGCCCTAATACCAACCATTTAAAATTCATGGGAAAGGTTAATTTTTTGCGGAAAAAGTTTAACAGACAAACAGACAGACGAACGGACAGACCAAAAACTATATGCCCCCGAATCTTCGATTACGGTGCATAAAAAGTGTTCCTGCACACTGAACAAAGTTTCTTACTGAAATTGTTTTCCTTAATTAAATTGTGACTTCTAGAAATATTTTTAAAAGTTTATACACTGAATAGATATATACACCAAGTTATTTCCTTGTCCATTTGCTGTGATAAACAAATATATATTCTGTGATTTGTGGACTTTGCACATTATCATTAATACTGAAAAGCATCACCAGGTTCCGGGATACCTGCTATGGAATTTGTAACAGCTGATTTAAAAAGTAGACCACTATGTAGATATCACCGTTCTTTAGCTGGCAGACCAAAGCGATTCCATACTTTGCCACCTAATTGAGAAAGGCATCAAGATTGGAATATTGACCAATCCAAGTGTTTACATAGCAACAGAAGGACTCATTCATCACAAAGTCGGGCAAAGGCTATCTTTGGCTATCTCAAGTAAAACAAACAAATGAAAACCCCTAAAACTACACACAGTCCACCCCAGGACACAAAAACAACAGAAATCAAAGAGAACTCACTATTTAACAAATTCTACAATTTCTAACTACATATCCAATCTCTGAAATCTTAATGTGGCATTTTATGTTTCTTATCAGTAAAAATAAGCTGTGGTTGTGAATTAGACAAACAACGACCATTTAAATATGTCAAACCAGTCCTTTCAAGTATACATTTATTAGTTTGTGAGTTTTAAATAAGAAAATTAAACGACTAAACACATATATCGGCAATAAGAATGGGTTAGGAACACCCGAGTACTGGGATCTACTCAATGATTTTATATAGTCCTGTACAATAGTACACTTATAACCTTAATATAAAATTGTTCTTACTTATACAATATGAATTTATTGCACTAGTTGTGTTAAGGGGGTGACAATTGAAGCCTCCACTAGACTAAACACTACTCCTTCTACACCTGGCAAACTCTCAAAATCTGTTATTTTATGGGATCATTGAGAATTCCTCTAAAGCTAAAAACTTCTAGTCGTTAGATCGAAGGCAAAGAAATCATTCCATATCAAGAAGAAATTGAATGACAATCATATCTGATACTCGCCAACAATGAAAGACTTGGGTGATATTTTTATTTAATTTAAATTCTATAAGCACAGTCGAAAGCCAGAAAAATTGGCATGTAATTGCGTATACTTGTCACTGCGGACAAATACGTGTCGCTTTCTTTGCAGCTGAATGCTGTCCAGTTATTCACATAAATATAGTTCCGTCCCTTTTCTTCATGACTTGAGGAAATTGCTGGGTAAATATTGGATTAGTTTTGTGTATTTGTCCGTTATTGAAGTCTGACTATCCTTTGTGTGTTCATTATGATGGAAACAAACATAAATGCAGTACTAGTAGTTGATTTCTATTCCTTAATCCATAGTCTGAACTATAAATACTTAAGTTTGGTTTCTTTAAATGAAAAAGAAAAAGAAAAAACATGGCAACGCCATCAATGAAAGCTCCGGGTTACACGATACATAAAACGTATGTATATGATAAATGCAGCTAACGAACAATTGTTTTCAAGGCTTAAGTCTGTTTTGGTCGATAGGTGGCGTCTTGGATGTCCGTCCGTCACCGGAACTACCGTCACCGTCATGAACTGCCACGTGCGGGACGTTCTTTCCGTAATGCATTGTCCGACTCATTCGGCCGTGACTCTCAGTCGAGGATTTTTCCCGAGTCGGTTTATTGCTTTGCGTATCACCGGTATTACCCTGCTGTTTTTTGGACGACGCGCCACTGCTTCCAATCGACTCACTACTTGACCCCAGTGACCCATCTAGTGACGTAGAAGACTGTTTTCCCTTGTCCTGGGGAACCTGTATGTTCGACTGTTTGCGCTGTTTTTGTTGTTGCTGTGATTGTTTTCGTGATTTTTCCGCCGTTTCCTTTTTCCCACTCCCACATCGCTTCCCCTTCTTCCCGCGCTCTCCATCCTCGACGTCTTCGTGAGGAACCGGGGATATATTTCCGTCAAGCGATGGGAGTTCCCCGGGAACATACTTAGCAGCATCCCTATACGATGGGGTACACTGGTATTCGTAATGTACAAACAATTTTTTAAACTCTACCCGCCAACTGAAGCCAGGGCCCTCACTTGACACCGAATTAGGGCGCCTAACATAACACGACTTAGGTCTATCTGTTTGTCTGTGTCCTGTCTGACAACCGTTTGGTGGAATCGCACCGGGCACAGTCAAATTGTACAAATACTCTGGATTATTTCTGAAGTCTGATAAACTAGCACAACGAATAATTTGATTAAAATCTTTCTCATTGGGTAACTTTTCTCGTCTAGCTCCTGCGAATTCACGCACAAATATGGGTTTCTGCGCCAGATATATACTAGATGTTGAACTACTACTGGACAGGGAGCCCCGCCGAGTAACAAAGGCAGTCTTTGGGCGCATTACGGAACGCTCCGAAGCACTGTGTGTATTTAGTGTGTCTTTGGAAAATCTGAGGTCCAATGTGGGAGGCGGCAATAGCAATTCCACATCTTCCTCCGCGATCCTCTCCGCCGCAGAGATAATCGCCGCACAGCGCCCATGGGAAAACTTGTGCGCCTCCTCCAACGCTGAGAGTCCGTCACGGTTTTTTCTGTCCATCTGTATTTTGTACTTTTTATGAGCATGCACTACAAGCCGGACTAACGGCACACTTCCTGCTCTCAAGGCGTAATGAAGAACGGTATTGCCCCATTTATCCCCCTCTGTTAAATCAAAGTCCAGGGCATTTAGAAGAATTCGGGCCAGTTCTACACGACCGTAGATGCAGGCTAAATGCATGGCATTCATTCCATATCTGTCCACACAGTCAAGGAGGGCCCCCTTCTCTATCAGGAGGCGTGCGATTCCCGTTCCCCATTCCTCGGGCTCCATCACAGAACACAGCATTAAGGGGGTCCGCTGGTTCCCATTAGGGGAGTCTATGTCTATTCCCAGATCGATGAAGAACCGAACCTGCTGAAAATATCCCCTCTCAATCACGTCCGTTAGTTGTACAATAGGGGCAGATTTACCCCTTCCTCGGAATTTCATGGTAAAATTCTTCTTTCCTAACGTTCTCAACAGACACTTATGTTTACTGTCCAGTAATTCTTTTCCGTGTTGGACTAACTCCTAAATGAGAACGATTCATGTATCTCTGGCTAAATAGTTCTCAAACTTTTGAGCAATCAACACTAAAGGACTGGCGACCATGAATAGAAAACGTAGTGGGTTTATGTCAATATCTTATTTAAAAACTTTCAACAATTTTAAAATCAACACAGCCAAGCGAAGAATTACCTTTAAAATGAGAAAGGTAAAATTCTAGATCTGAAATCCAAAGATGGTCTCGCACCATTCTATCTACGTCAGTGAATGACAGTTGATTGCACAGAGAATAAAAACGATTATATAGATTGCGTCCAAAAGTTATTTTCTTTTTGAGAGTCTATTTTGTTTACCCCCGGAGCTAAATCTTCCATTCAATCAATCCTGCGTGCCCAAACAAGCCGATTTGGAAAGTGTCAAGTATTGCATTATCTTTCTCGTCTTACGGGATCTTTTTCTGGTGATCAATACATTGATATAGAAGTCTTTGAACTTAAGTGACGGACCCAGAAGCTCCACGCCTGATAACTGGATAAGGGGCACCTGCTTCTAACACAGGTTTCCGTGGATACATTCACTTCTTTCTCTGATTGGTACTTGGAAATTTGTAAGATACGAGAGTATGAGAATCGGCAAAATATGAACTTTTGGTCACATAAAAAAAACCTTCTAGGTAAAATGAATTGAAATTCCTTGTGTAAATATTGTCAGGAATTATTGGGGAACCCGAAAACTTTTAAAACACCTACGTTTCGTATATATCAGTATAGCTAACTCATCGGAAATTTTCAATAATTTGTCAGTCACCACGGGAGATCAGAATTCGGTTTGATTGTGTTAAAGTTTTTGGCGATTAAAATCACTTTTAAAGTTCCGTTTTCATTGTGCAGCAGAGTGAATATTGCGTGTTAAAACACAATTTTAAAATCTCGACAAAAAAAAAAGTCAATAATTCCACTGATAATTATTTGTTTGTCTTTAATTACTGACGCCGCAGTTCATTAATAGTTCTTTGTACAAAAGAATTACTTATAACAGAAATTCCAGAGCATGAACAAATAAAAAACGTAAAACGTCAGAGCAAAAATTATAAAAAGCCTTCGAAAATGTCAAGATACGGGCCTTCGATTTTATGAATTCAATAAGTCTAAAATCTCTTGTACTTTTTCAGTAAAGCGTTAAGGTATATACCTCTTTTGATTTTGTTAAATGACCTGTTATTTCTTCTTTTTTTAAATAAACCTTTTTTCATTACCATTTCCTTATTTCAGATTCTGTATTAAAACAAACCAATAAAAAAGTTATTTGCAAATTCGATTAAAACCAGGACAAAAACATTTTTTAAGTAAAACAGAATGAGAAAGTGTTCCATGTATAATCCTAGCAACTCGGTATCGAATGATAAATTGGGCGCTTATTGAGCCGAATGAAGAGGGGAGACGGACGTAACTAAGGCCCTGCGCGCGCGCGGTCATCCAAGTGTCGTCTGCGCAGTGCTTTGGCTAAATACCGGTATTTACCTAATAAAGGGGGATCAATTCGCGGATTCATGTCAATTTTATTAACTGTTGAGCTACACAAAGCCAGGGGTGTACGGTTTTACGGATATTAAAACACGCACTTTGGAAAACATTAATGAAGATATACCACATTTAGGACGCCCGTGTTTAACCCTAAAAGGTTTCATATTAATTCTTTGTTATTCTTCATAATCAAACCTTTTAGAAAATCATCGCTAATTTGACAAGAACAAATTATTCAATCACATTGGTGTATGGTATTCCAGGATACTCGTTGCAGGCCAAGTGATTCTTGAAACTTTTAAAAGACTGCGCCAAAATTTTACAAATTCTTTTCTCTCCAATGAAAGCAAATGCACCCCTTCTTTAATTTGAAGAAACTTGAATCCACTTCATCCTTTATGGCTAGTTTGGTTGGAAACGGTTTCCGGAGAAGTATAAAATGTGAAAAGTTTACAACAATGACAACTGTACAACAACAGAGAATGAACAAATTTTAATTGGAAAAGCTCTCCTGAGCCTTTGTCTTTGCGAGATATAAATGAAAATAAAGTTTCATATCAAATGATCAGTCATTTATTATGAACTTTAAAAAAAATGACACAGACAAATTAAATAACATGATCAATGTTACCATAAATAAAAACGACCATGTAATGATACACATTTTCATGACTCAAAGAAATAAAATTGTAGTTGGTCATCAAAATATTATAAGTTAAAGAAATTGACATTTCAAACAATCTGTTTGCCAATAGATTTCAAGAAATGTTTGATTTTCTGTTATTCTCTGCAATAAAACAGCACAGTGATCTTAATATACACTAGACAATGCAGCCTTCTGTCTATAAATGTCACATGACCAGGAGTTGACTTCGTTTGCCGTATGTGTCCTTGCTAAGTATTGGCTGATTCACAGGCATCTATCCAATCACTGTAGACGTCAATAGGCTCTGATAAATCTGGGACTGCTCAGGAAAATCAATGATCAAGAAATTCTACTCAGATCGGTACTAAAAAATGATCTTCTCTGAGTTCCAGTCCACACCGATGACCAGAGGAATTATAGTAAAAATTGAAATATAATTTAGTACCATCATTCTTAAAGGACTTAAATGCATACTTATCTTTTCATAGAAAAATAAAGGTCACAGTGCACTATCCCATAAAGTTAAGTAAATGCTGGCTAAAAAAAAATTCAATAATTTTAGGTCTTTAAACTGGACAAACTGAACATACATCTGTTAGATATCAGGTAATATCATATCCTAGATATCATGCAGAAAATTTCAGATGCTAGATATCTGGAATTATGAATTTCAGAAGCTAGATATAATATCATTGGGTAGTTGTCAGGTAGTATCAGGTGTTGATATCAGAAAATTTATAGGATACAGTTAATGCTGGTTTGATAGTCCTCCAGACATACAGTGCAAGTAATAAACCCTGTGTTCCTCTCTCTGTCCCTGAAAAACCAGAAAATTCAAAATATAAACTACATGTCTATAATCTAACACAATTAATCTTTTAGAAAGTTCTGATAGCAAAATGTGAAAACTTTTCTTCCTGCTACAAATGAACTTTTTAGGTAACAAACATAAATACTTGTGCTCAAGACCCAGATAATAAGCATAAATATTATACTTTCATATGTAAATTAGTTGAATCTGATTTGTTGAGAAACATTTGTTAAAGAACATTATTACCCGCTGAATAATGAAGCCATGCCCTCCAACATAGCAACAGTCGCTTGATGACAGGTGATTTTCAAAAAAAATTTTATTGCGCAGAATTTCTGCGCTCAAGACACAGATACTTGTGGACAGGAACCCCCCCCCCCCCGCCCCAGCCGATATTTAACCCCGGGCTTGTTGGACATTTTTTCACAAATTATATTTATTGCACTTATTCATCATGTGTTCCATAGGAAAAAATCATGAAAACCCCAAAATAATCGTTCCACACAAAAAATGTCTCTCTTACAATGTATATAGTTAGGCATTTTTTGTGAGGAACGATTATTTTGGGGTTTTCACGATTTTCCCAATGGTACACATGATGAATAAGTGTAATAAATATAATTTGTGAAAAAATGTCCAACAAGCCCCGGGGTTGAATATCGGGGGGGGGGGGGTCTTTTCCACAAGTACCTGTGATTCTAATATATGCTCTGCAAGCTGAAATTTACAATAAAATAATTTCCAAACAATCAACTGTACAACATGCTTAAAAATTATACAAAGTCTCTTAACACTTACATTTTGATTTCACATTCACTTGTGTATGACTTCTCATGGTTACAGAATGGACAGTCATACATTGTATAAAGTGTTTTAACACTCACATTTTTGACTTCACGTGACTTCTCATTATTACAGAACGGACAGTTACACATTGTATAAAGTGTTTTAACACTCACATTTTGACTTCACATGACTTCTCGTGGTTACAGAACGGACAGTTAAACATTGTGTCTAGGGGCTGCAGTATCTTCCTCTTTGGGGGAGGTTTATTTGCCTTTTTTCTTCTTCCCATGTCAGATACTGTAAATCACAAAATCAAAACTACTGAGGTAATGCAAGTAAAAAAGACAACAAAAAAATCTGCACCTGCATGTATAGTAAAAATAGAATTTAATTTCATATAAAGAAGATAATGAATTAAGAATAATCAAGTGAATTAAGAATGGAGAGCTACCAGAATTTGAGAAGATATTGTAACAACCAAAGTAAAATATTTTTTATGCTAATACATGCAGAGAAAGAAAGAAAATGCCTGCAATATATTTGGTTATAGCCGTATAAAAATGCAGTTAATGCAGACAACCAGTACAAATTTAAAAGACAGTGGGATATAGTAGTAAATCACGGTAATAAGGAAAATCAAAAGCCTGAAAGGCTTCAATGACGTCGAAGAAGAAAAACAATTTCAAAAGATCATTTTGAATTTGAAGGTAGCAATAAGTCAAGTGAGTGACTCAGGAGACATAATAAAAAAATAGTTTAAACAAAATATCACAATTACAGTCTGGGGCCTTATGTCATGGTCCGAATGGAGCAGGGTTCGAATTGACCAGACACCGTCGAACATGTTCATGCTAAATTCTTTTCAGTCAGTTGAAGAACTATGAAGGATTTCGTGAATTTATATAATATTTTTTTCTAATTGCCAATGTCAAAGCATTGTATTAGTGATTGCATCTAAACTACAACCAAGCCTCTAGTCTGTTAAAATTACGATCGAGTTACGATCGGGCGTGGTATACGGTATACTGGGAAATGGAGGAAATGGAGAAATACAGCAATACTGGTCAATATCATCGGTTTTTAGGATAGAGTTGGTTAGCAGATTGTATAAGTAAAGCTAAAATTTAGAAATTCAATCTTTTTAGTCTTAAAGTATTCGTGTTTATGTAATTTTGTGATTATTTTACCTCCTGTTGTGTTGTTTTACGGTTATCGTTCCGAAATGTTATTCATGTCATTCAACGCACCCTTTCTATAGAAATTCATCCGCAACAACCATCACGTTTTTCTTGTGTGAGAATAAAATATAATATTGTTGTTTTGCAATAGAATTAATTGCGGATATAATTGATGCAATTTTATTTTCAAGCTATTATTCATTTTGAGCGTTTTCAAATAAATTGGTTTATACCTATTGCTATTTTCTATTGCGGATGCATCGACTGACACATTCGGTCGCGTACATATCCGGTCGCGATTTCAACTGGGCGCTTGCTAGATGACGTTCGAGCTCCAAGAGCTCGACGTCATAAAAAATTATGGCTAGAAAGACAATGAATCTGAGACAGCTGACCACTCATAGACTTGCAGGTCAAAGTCCTTCCATGGGCTAAAATAACTGAGGGCAAAAGCAACTTAAGAAGGGAAGAATTTAGTGGTTTTGGTTCAATAGAATGTGGATAACTGACTTTATAGCGGAAGTTCAGTGGTTAGAGCACCTGACTACAGGGTTTTGGCTAAATGGAATGTGGATAACTGCCTTTATAGCTGTAGTTCAGTGGTTAGAGCACCTGACTAAAGGGCCCTCACTAGGATTTAAACTGCCAACTTGGTCCCAAGACTCAAGGTTTTATGAGAAGGTTGATTCCCAGGACTCAAGGTTTTGTGAGAGGGTTGAGTCCCAGCGAAATTTGAAAAACTAGAAAAATCATGTTTAATTCCAATTAAATGACTGCAGTATCCTTCAATCCAGACAAAAATGAAAATCTTATATTCTAACCAACATGTTTATTTTGTGATTCAAACCATAAATAATTGCCATAAAAATTAATGTCAGTTGACATGTTCCTCAATAATATATAACTTTCCCAAAGAATTTGTCATTGAAGTATTGCTACTTTAACAAGTTTCCTCACAAAAAATAAAGGTACCATACAAGCCATTTGTTCAAGATACCAGAGGATGCTATATTTCTCTAGCATTGCCAGTACATGCACCACAATTTCTTGGTGTCTTTTTCTATTTAGATATTTTGAAAATAGTTTATAAATCACAGGACAATGATAGTTGTACATTATGAAGAGATACAAAACAGAAACATGTATTCCAGCAACCTGTCAGACCTTAACTTGGTGTTTATAAAACTAAAATAAAAAAGTGGCATAATAAAGTACTCTAAAATTGACCAAAGATGTGTCTTGTATACAATCACAGGTATCTAGTGCAATGAGGCGCAATTAATCATAATCCAGTTGTCTTTTTTTTTGTCTACAACACGTGTCCCACCTTATTACAACCACTCGGAGCTCCTAGGGTAGCTCATGCTTCGCACACATTGCTAATAAACTAGTAAAATGTCGGTTTGATACTGCCTACCCATTTTACCAACATAGAAATCAACAATCTAAAATATTGAGCATTTCAGAGCATTACATATGAACCTATAACAAACATAATTTGAAAATTTCAGTTCAATTGATAAAGTATTAAGGAAGAAAATTGAAAAATCTTGAATAACTCTGATTTTCAATTTGCCCGACCCGGGTTTGCCTACTCATTTTACCAGGTAAAATGGGTAAGCAAACAAGGGCAGGGGCAAAATTATTTGGGACACAGTGTTGTTAAAAACGAGTGTTGGTCAGGTCCAGTTCAAAAGTATTTCTACCCACATAGCTATTAATAGCTACCTTGGTATTAAACCTACTTGAAGTAGCTACTTCTACCTACCTTTACCTGTCTTTGAAAATAATAATAAATAATAATTACGGTGCATCTTTAAAACAGGTCAAACTTGTTGTTTATCATCTTGTGCACTTGCCAGTGATGGGGTAATCGTAATCGAGTAATCGTAATCGATTGTAATGATTACTTTTTTCAAGTAATCGACAGTAATCTGTAATCGAAGAGATTTTCAATTACTTGTAATCGTACTTTAATCGATTACAGCTAAAATTGTCAATGTAATTATAATTACTTTTTCGATTACTTTCGATTATTTTATACATAAATGGATGTTATTTTGGAGAATTATTTCCAGTCAGACACACATAAATATCAAATATAAACCACCTAGTGTAATGTTTGGATTTCCTAATTTTTATTATCATAAGTTTAATAATGTTCTCAATAAAATTTGCATTATAGACCTACTGGTCTAGTATTAAATAATTCAGAAGTGTACTTCAATCAATTATTAATAAAATATACAGATTTTTCGTGTCCATTTTACATTTGACACACTTCCTCTTGCTGCATGTCTTTTTTCATATTTCAGATGTTGAAAAACTTTGTCTTGTATAATAGAAAATTATAAATAGCTATAACAGATTTAAGTGCTGTATTAGATATAATTAATTTGGTAAATAAACTACATTGTCCTCAAAAAAAAATGAAGATGGAAATACTTATTCATATCTAAAAATGTTTGAACAACTTCAAACTTGTGTTTTAGTAACTTTAAAATTTGCAAAATCATTCTCAAGTTTTCATTCAAAATTGTAAGGTTGCTTTTTTGTCAGTGAGAGGTTATAAATCTATATTTTTAAGAGAGGGAGTTAGTGTCACTGCGTTTGCTTGTCTTGGCTAATTAATTGACTTCAAGACATCCCTGACATGCAGATAATGAGGTGTAAACTGTGAACTACCTAGTGTTTAACTTTTATAATTCATTGAGTTCCATTGAATACAAACAATATTTTATAATTGATAGTTCCATTGAAGACAAACAATATTATTAAAACAATTAATAGCTCTCAAAACACTTATTTCAATACAGAATGAAATTGTGCTAGTAGTTTAATTACTTAAAGACACATTTAATTTACATGTTTATTACTAAGAGTTCTAATTTACTTTTTTTTTTTTTTGTGAAAAAGACACGTAGAGGAATGTTTAATGTATACTGTTAGCATATGGACAGCCCAAATACTTCTAATGAAGTAATTCACAATAAAATATTGAATAATTTTTGCAACAAGTCGATAAATATGGAGGTTCAGATCCAAGGTTGAAAGGAATACTTAATTCCTTGGCACATTTTATTGTAGGAATCATGTCTCCACTTTCCATGGTAGAGAATCCCTCATTTGGGCATTTAGTGAGAATGTTAGCCATAATAATAAAACCTTAAAAGAATCTGCACTAAAACTGCAGGAACACATTCACAAACTTCAGTGGATAACATCAACATTTACCATTTAAATATTGCTTTGATATTTGAAAGGATAAAAACTTGGAAGTAATTGATTATTAATCGATACATCTTCCATAGTAATCGATTACAGGACAAAAATGAGTGTTACAGTAATCGATTATACAAAATTCCTCTAAGTAATCGATTACATTTTTCAGTAATCGTGCCCATCCCTGGCACTTGCAAGAAAAAAAATTCAGAGTGTTAATTTGAAAACTTTTTAGAGGGTGGAGATTGGAGAAGAAATGCATTAAAAATCATCCAAAACATTTTATCTAAGAATGCTTGAAGATTAGATTTAAAATTGATACAGATTTGTAAATCTTTTTAGACTTAGTTTTGATCCTTAGCTACAAGGAAATGAAACTGGATGTAGTTTTTTTTATGCAAAATTGACAAGTTAGAAAGGAATCATTTTTTGCCAAAATTTTTGTTGTATTCATCGTGACTGTATTGCATGTATTAAATTTGGTGCTCACCATTTTGCGCAGTTCAAGCATTTGGCCACAAAATGTAAGTAAAGCAAATAGTAGGTAAAAATAGCTACCTGGAGTAGGTTTAAATACCTAGGTAGCTATAAGTAGCTACGTAGGTAGAAATAGTCTTTCCACTGGACCTGTTGGTAAAATTTACCAACACTCTTTTTAAAAACACTGTGTCCAAAATAATTTTGCTGCAACCACTGTAACAAGTCAATAAATGAAATAATAATGCTGCATAGTCAAAAACTTATGTAACCTGTGTCACTGGTATTTGTAACAAAATATACTAGGTAAATTTCAGCACTAATTTTGGGGAAAAAATATTGTGACAAATGCCGTGATGCCAAACACGTGGCTTCCATTGTAAACAAACGTGTCTGTAAATAGTGCTTTACCAAATCATAAAACATACAATAAAAACGTATTTTCTATATAGAATACTAACCGCCTGCGTTTAAAACCTCGTTACTTACGTTTCGCATGCGATGCAGATCAGATGGTGAAAACAAACAACCGGAAGCCAATATTAATCGCGATTTGGTAACTCGTTTCTTAATTATTTCTGATCATGTCAGAAATAATAATATCAAGATTTCAGTATTAGTGGTGTTATAATTTGAACAACTGGCATATTTTATTTATTCCCATAACAAAAATTTTAAATTTTAAAAATTGCTACACAGCATTTTTGCAGATTTTATCAATCACACACGTTCAAAATTCAAACATCGACATTTCCTAGATTGAGTTAACCCGTGCCTGCCTTGACTTCCATCGCGTCCCTGACACCAAGCAGAAGGGACAAAAGAAAATTGATGTAGTAGTATTTTTTATTGCTTTCAAAGAATTTATTTACATTTATTGGATTTAATAAGTTAGTGAAACACAGAGGCGATGCCACGCAGGGCGCTTCGGTGTGTTGTGGACCTTAAACTGAGAGCGGTAAGTATCCTTGTCATGTCCTGTCTTGTTTTTTCAAACCCGCACAAGACCTTATTGTACTACAAGTTTTGCCGACTTTTTTTGACTATTTTAAAAACTTTGAAAACTCACAAAGAGTAAAATCATTTAAGCAGTTTGACAATTTTAGTATAAAATTAAGATACTATTGAAAATCGGATGCAAAAATAGGCCTATACTAATCAATACAGTATCCAGACTTGTACATTATCATGTAGGCATATAACAATAAATATGTATTATAGCGTCTAAATTTTTGGGATGGATGATTGGATGTAAACAATAATTAGACTATTATGCAGTAAATAAATAAAGACCCCAGGATGTTCAGTGCAAACCCTGGATATAGCAATCAGAAATAGTGAAGAGATGTAGAATTATAGTGTTATTGTTCCATGTTGCCATGGAGATTTATTTTCTTAGATGGATGGGCAGTTAGAAAAAGTTTGAAACTAGTACTAAGTATGCATGATCTTCTACCCACTCTCATAACCACTGCAGATTAAAGTAATACTGTGTGTACGTGATATTCTCTAATTTGGACTGTCAAAGAACAAACTTTGAATAATGCATTTTGTTGCACCAGTTAAATTAGAATTCTGTTTTCCCATTGCCCACTCTCTCCTGTTTTTGTGGAGAAACCTCTGATCCTTACCATATATATACTTTACAGAGTTTTCAATTTCTGTTTATGTCTGATTATAAGTTTGTCTATATGTAATTTCAAGAACCTGTATTGGATTTAGATATTTATCACAGGAACACATATTTTGTATTTGTTTATTGACATATCTCTGTTTAAGAGGTAATTTTTTTTACCCCATAGGTGACTGCTCCAGGGGTGTGGCTGCCCAGCAGGGAGGATGTTTATGTCAGCATCAGTCTGTTTGGTCAGTACAAGAATACATGTCTCCTGGAGTCTGTGTTCCCATTAATCATCAGAGAAGACTTCACATTTGAGAAGGTATTACAGCAATAGGATCATGTCATAGATAAATGACAACATTGTAAAATATGTACTAGCTAAATAGGGACTACAATGTATGTAAGGACTAATCAAATAATATTTATCTCATTTACTTGTATTTCACTGCTGAATGGTTATTCAACTTTTAGATTTATAACCAGTAGCCCTAATTCACTCATTAAGATTTGTTTCTTGTAGACCTACTACACTGCCTTAGACCCATCAGAAGTTGTGGACTATTTAGAGGGTAATTATTGAAATGTTATTGCATTCCTATTTTCAATGTTTCAATTTATCACACTTGTCCTAGTAAGCATTTAAAATGATTAGAGATGCAAGAAGAACGGCAATAATTAGTCCTGTATTTGTTCTGCCCAGTAGGAGTGGTATACATTTGATCATGTGTTTTCTTTGGCATAGGACGGTGTGTTTGTTATTTTCAGACTGAAAATCAGAGAATGGTTACTCATTAGGATGAAAAGAGTATTGTTAAAAAAATATTTATTATTTAATTTATGGAAATTTTTCAAACTTTATAGATGAGTTGATTGTGTTTGAGCTTTTACAACTGTCTGAGTTTGGAGGAGCAAACAGACTCGCCTCCTACTCATCAAGTGCTCGTGACTTCCTATATCCCGCCCCATCTCTTTCTCCATGTTATGCCTCAGGAGCCCGAGAAATTCTCTTCCACAGGTCTATTGACTTCCCGGTAAGTGTCTGATTATTGATAAATATCTTACTATCTATTGACTTCCTGGCAAGTGTCTAATGATCATTCAGTAAATATCTATTGACTTCCTGGCAAGTGTCTAATGATCATTCAGTAAATATCTATTGACTTCCTGGCAAGTGTCTAATGACCATTCAGTAAATATCTATTGACTACACTGTACGTGTCTGATGATTTAGTAAATATCTGTTGATTTTCAAGTTGACAGTCCTGGTAAAAAATGTTTTGAAAGGTAAATCATTTTGATTAGTTGATGTTCTCCCAAAATGCTTTGTATAATTCTAATCTAGAATTGTGTTCAAAATGTCAATGTAATATTCAAGGGCATAAGTCCAAAGCTAGAATTTGTCTCCATCACAAACATCAAGGAATCGTTGTCTCCAGAATTAGATGCTTTAGAGGATTCTTTGAGAGAGGAGAGAGTAAGTAGTCTGCAGTGAGTTAACTGACACACAATGTGCATTAAGTTAATATTGTTATTAAGTACATGTACTTTTTTCCTAAACATTTAGAGATCAAGGAGACGTTCCCGATCCCGTAGTCGATCCCGCCCCACGAGTCGCCCTTCATCCCGAGCCTCCATGAGGTGAGATCAATCACTCACAGACCACCCTGGCCTGGAGTGCATCAGAGTTCTGTGTCAGCATAGCACGTTTGTCCACATAATAACATTATAAACAGAGGTCACATACTAATTTTTATTTTATTTTTAATGAGATATTAAAGACTTCTGCATTAAACAAATATTCTTTGAATTTGATTGCCATAATTGTGGGAATTGAAAATAAATGTTGATTTAAAAGCATTCTGTTTTCCATACTCTGTTTTCCATGTACTTAGAGTGGGTTTGTATCTGGATTATAGTAACTATGTGTATAATGTGTATAACTCTCTTCTACTCTTATTTCACAAATACTTATTCTACACTGCTCTCTCTCCCTCTCTCTTTTGGTGATGGAATTTAACTTTTGATTACAAATTGATAAACATATTATATCTATTCTTTCATTTAAAAACAGTCTTATCTCCTGATGTAAGCAATAATACAATGTTAATGTAGACTGTTCTAACAGATGAGATATTGATAGCTTTTGTGTCCACTCCTGCCTATCTCTCACATCACTCTGTCTTTTCTGTAGGACTTTTGTAGACGTGGATCCCGCAGAGGACCTCAAATCCTACCACAAGCCAACCATTTCTTCTATTTGTCATTCTAGGTCACCGTCCCCGGCTGCGCGCTGGAAAAGTGACGACGTGTATGTACCCAAGCTCAACAGCACTGAGGGGCGACCTCCATTTGTTGTTCGTCATGTAAGCGTTACTTATGATGCAAACTGAAATCTCGTCCTCTGTGCAACAGTTACTATTTTAAGTAAGATTTTAATATTATAAATTAACTTTGTTTTTGTGTGTTACTGACTTTTGTTAATGTTTCTTCAGTTAGAAAAATCCCTCATTGGGAGAATCCCAGGCAGCGGTGATGGCCTCAAGGCCAAGACAAAGAAGAAGGTCAAACGTGGGAGGTCAAGGTCGCGTAGTCGATCTGTTAGTGCTATGTCCGACTCTGGTAGGTACCAAATTCATCTTCTAAGACATGTATTGCATTGGTGAATTCTCATGAAGTATATTAAGTACTTCTGAAATTTTTCTGATATGTTTTGCAAGAAAATTCTATTTGCTTCTTGTGTGACAATTCCATACAATTTTCCTAGCGCTGCATGCCTCCGTAAGTTCTCTACCAGAAAACAGATGCTGTGTCTGTAGTACGTACAAAAAACACATGGGGAGGAGATACTGGGGTCACACCCTTAATTATCACCCTACAGGGCTGACCCCAAAGACTTACAATGTCAGAAGACACAGCCCCAAGGTGCCTCTGAACCCCAGAAAACACAGCCCTAGGGTGCCTCTGAGCCCCAGGAAACACAGCCCCAGGGGTTCTGAAAGCCCTCTAGGGTCCAGTCCTGGGAAACCCCTCAGTCCACACAGACATAGTCCCAGGAAGTGCCTCTTTCAGGTAGAATGTTCCCGTTGTTCTTGTCTGGTTTGTTGTTCTGCATGGATGGCACCTCATGAAGGGCGCTGTTTCTTGGGAGGCGTTTTTTTTTCACTTTTTCTTTTGACTCAAGCAGAAGTTTTGTCCCTGTTCAAAAATTGTAGTGAACAGTGAATTTGAATGTTATTATTCTAGTTTATTTGTTTATTTCATCATTTGTTGTGTTTGTTCATTTTTAAATACATGTTTCCATTTCAAGTTTGGGGAAATATCTACAACAGATACCAGTGACTGTACACAATTAAGAATGAGCCCCATGTCATTTTGTCAAAACATATTTTTAAAAAAGGCAAAATGATTTAGCTCCATTTTCAATATATGTTGGAACTCTTCTGCTTATCCAGTGTACTCTGCTAAATAAGTCCTGACTTTATATAAATTCTAGTATATTTCCTCAAACATTGAAGCATGCTGAGAGTTTTGATGTTTTGCATGAATGTTTTACAGGAGGTTACTATAGCGATTACACCAGCTATCCAAGTGTAACTCACAAATACCGCTTAAAAAAGGTAATACAAGTACATGTATTCAAATTTTCTAATATTTGTCAGGCTCATTGTAATTAAAAAGTATTCTTTAAATATTAGTGCTATATATAATTCTATTACTATAGTTTTCTTACATTTTTGGAAAGAACAAACATTATTCAAGGTTTTGAGATCTTGAGGCTTTGTGTGAATATCTAACTAAGGTTTTATGAGGCTTTTTGTGAATATCTAACTAAGGTTTTACAATAATACTTTAGACTTCCTCACTGGACGGTGATGACCCCCTCCCCCGAGCCTCACCCCGGCAGTTCCTCAGTGACGACGAAGGTCTGTATTTATTTTCTTCTCTGTTTATTTATACATGTATACACTTAATATCGTATCTCATTTTGTTGTAGCATTTTTTCCTTCACTGTTTGTCTTATGAACTTATAAAGTATACAGCACTGCAAGAGATTGATGGCTCTGTGCAGTGGCTCTGTACTATTTAGATATTGTGGTCAGATCATGAGATTTTAAAATCGCATATTTTCATAAAGTCAATTTTTTTTTTGGCTTCAGGAAAAACTATGGGTTCATGGGGATTTGATTTTGTGAAGAATTGTTGAGTAGTTATGTATATGACATTTTACATTTTGTGGTGGACATGAATTCATGGGTCTCTTCATTTCTCAAAAACAATGAAAATTACCCCCCCCCCCCCCCCCCCCCCCGAAAATTAGTGATTTCACAGTATTTTAAAATCCATGTATTGTTTAAGATACTAGTAAATATTTAGTAATCATTTTGATGTAATTGGTACAAATTTTACATTTATATCTCTGTCCTGTTGTAGATGCTGAGGTGGCAGCCCTGACTGGATCCGTTGATGACCTTCGCCTGAGTCGTAGATCAAGGTCCCCAAGCCCTTTGCTGTACCGTCCTTCCTTGAGGGAGAGGTATGGCTTACGTCCCTTGACACCAACTGAAAAATTGGATCTTGACCTAAGAGTGGAACAAGCTCTGCGGCGTAGTCGCTCCAGAGAGAGACTGGCAAGGTTGGAGTTAGAACGATCGCGAAGCAGATCTAGGGAGAGATTAGCCAGACTGGAGATTGAACTGGCAGAGAAGAGAAGAGAAAGACTGGCACGAGAGGAGCTTGAGGAGGTGGGGGTTTAATATACATCAAGTTACTCACTTGGTCAAACCCTAATAAATGAAATACCTTGTAAAAATCTAAATATCAACTGTCTTTGATTTTTCTTTTCAACATTTAAATGCAGAAATTTTGCCTCCCTTAAATTGCATTTTAAGGTTTACAAGTATGAATGGGGATAATGCTGCTATATAAAAGTCAGATCTGTAATAATGCAGTGATTAATATGTGCTGGTATATTTTTAATCAAAGGATATATTTTTTTTTTCAGTCTCTCCGACGAGCCCGAGCCAGGTACTTGTATTATAAAGACTTGGAAGATCTTGACTTGGACACTAGGCTTGCCCTGTCTAGGAACTTGTACCTATAGAGGTCAAAGGTTACTATCACACATTAACCTCCCATAAAGTAGATAGGAATCTCCAAGTCTTTCTGTCTGTCTGTCCATGAACTTGTACCTATAGAGGTCAAAGGTTACTATCACACATTAACCTCCCACAAAGTAGATAGGGATCTCCAAGTCTGTCTGTCTGTCTGTCCATAAACTTGTACCTATAGAGGTCAAAGGTTACTATCTCACATTAACCTCCCACAAAGTAGATAGGGATCTCCAAGTCTGTCTGTCTGTCTGTCCATGAACTTGTACCTATAGAGGTCAAAGGTTACTATCACACATTAACCTCCCACAAAGTAGATAGGGATCTCCAAGTCTGTCTGTCTGTCTGTCCATGAACTTGTACCTATAGAGGTCAAAGGTTACTATCACACATTAACCTCCCACAAAGTAGATTGGAATCTCCAAGTCTGTCAGTCAGTCTGTCTGTCCATGAACTTGTACCTATAGAGGTCAAAGGTTACTATCACACATTAACCTCCCATAAAGTAGATAGGAATCACCAAGTCTTTCTGTCTGTCCAACTCTGTGTTGGGTCAAAATAGGAGAAAAGAGCTCAGATTTGATTCAGAGGTTGCTTTAATGAGATTTTGTATTAGAAGCTTGAAAGAAGGTCATTTTGAGATTGTCATATGGGATGGGTCATTGGGATTAAAAGTTAAAGCCACACTGTGAGATTCATAGATGTGTATTGACATAAAATTTATGACAAGAGTCATGACCCTGAACTAAGTCATGTTAATTGGTTAAGTATACAGTCATTAAATTCTTGTAAAATACTTTGGGAATTATTTGGATGTGCCATATTAGTCCCTTATGACAGCTTTAGATTTAACTTGGTTTGTGGTTTAAATGATTTCATTGACCATATATCACATGGCTATTTTAAAAGCATATGAAACAAATCATTAAATTGCATAAACTAAAGTTTCCAAACTAACAACTGAAACAACACAGACAGACTCTAAATAATCTTCCAACTTTCTCTTCCAGCCCAACTCGAGTGCATTTGGACGATGGAACCTATTGGTCTGAAAGAGCAGCAAAATTTCAAGGAAAATCTCATCGCCAGGTGTTTAACGACAGTCTGAGTAAACTGTACTCCAAAATGTACCGCGGGGCTCTGAGGGCGGGGCCGGTCTGATAGTTACCTCATCACTAGATGTTAACTGTGATATTAGATAGTGTCTGTGTATTTATATCTAGGATAAAAGCTATGTGACTACAACCAGTTTCTGTTACCAGAATATTCATGAGAATGTTACTGTTAATTTGTATCTACTAATTGTTGTGTAAAATTTTAATTTCTTGTACCTTTGATTTTTGGACCCGGGTTCCATAACTTTTATCCCTGCTTGGTTTGTTTGACAATACTCCGTAGGGGCCAGTGATTTACAGGGTGTGTTATTTGCTTGGGGGAGGCAAAATTGATACTAAACCAAAATTATTACTTTTCTATTCCATTCAATACAATAGGATGGCTTATAAGCTGATTATAAAGTGAGAGTTTTTAAGTGTCTGATGAAAAAAATTATTCTGATACTACAGGGTTTTAGTTTTTTATTAAATTTATTTATCCATACTGCTTATTTTCAACTAACTTAAAAGAATTCCGTAGTCAATTTCTTTTTTTTTATATACAGCACAAGTCTACACATTATATTAATTAATATTTGATCAATATGCTTTTATTGTATCACCCTAATTATTTTACATTTATTTGTCAGTTAGAAATTAATTCAAAGCAGCATTTAATGAGAATAAATATTTTGTTTATTACATTTTGTTTTTTGTTCATTGAATATAAAGCAGTACTGGTCTAAACTTTATTGAAGTGTCTTGTTGTGGGCCTTTATGTGATTGAAATATAATTCTATTTATTTTGTCTTGTAGCAGTTGTACAACTGTTGTATATCAACTAAACATCACAGATCTGCCGTTATATTTCTTACAACAAATAAAGCGGGTATAGATCTACATGTATCATAGGAACAATTGACGATTTGACTTCGCCAGTCCGGACACAGTTGTAGTTCGCAATACACAGGCCCATAGAACAAGGGGCGTGGGGGGGGGGGGGGGGCATGAAATAGGATTTTGGAGTTTAGAGAGTTTACGTTTTTTTTTTTTTGTTTGTTTGTTTTTGGTTTTGTTTTTTGTTTTTTTTGTTTTATTATTTAAACCATTGAGCTACAGGCCAGCTACAATCATATCTCATTAATCCGAAAGTTAATAATCCAGACGCTTTATCTTCCGGACGAAATTAGGAAACGGAACTATGTCTACCAATAATTAAAAAAAAGTATGTTTCATTAATGAAATATGGAGATAACGAACAGTATTCAAGATCAAAGTCCATTAAAACAATACAAATTGGGAGCAGAGCAAACACGGACCTCCAAAACCAGGGGTGGGATCAGATGCCATGGAGGAGTGAGCATCCCCTGCCGACCGGTCACACCCGCCGTGTGCTCCTTGTCATGATCGGGAAATAACGGAAAAATCCGTCGACAGTTCAGTGTGTAAATAATGGCCTAACAATCAGTATGAAAACGTCAGTCAGCATTTGACTTAATAAATTGTATGTGCTGACAAGGTCATTGTATCGACCGAAAAACTTGCGAGACTGTTGAAATCTTTGTTTCGTCAACTTGTTTGTCAATAACTTACCTTTATTCAGACGATTCAAAAACCTGGACGAATTGCGTGACAACATAACACAATCGGATCAACCAGAATCGACTGTACTTAATGTGAATCTCAAACCTGCAGAAGCCCCCATTGATTGCAGTCGATTAAATAAAAAACACTTTATATGTATGTTTTAAAAAGTGATTTTTCAGAGAAATATATGTACAGCACTTTGACATGATACTCAACTTTGGTAATTTTCTACTTATCTTGCAGCTTCAGACAGAAATAGAAATTATATATTGGTATATTTGTGTTATTTTGAGCCCCTTTAGAATTATCTGAGCAGCAGGCTCTTTCTTTATTTGCAGTAGTATCACAAGCTTTATACTGTTACATGCATCTTGCACTGCACTTCCCCTTTAAATTCTAAAATAGAATTCATAGCTTCAGACTCGATCCAAGAAGTATACACGTATTATCTTTATTTACACGTGGTTTCTGCTTTTAAAATAAAAAAAGTAGATTTCTAACGCCCTCCCGTGGTTCTTAGCCTTGATACAACACATAAGTAATGGATATATATGCCGAATACTGTTCTAAATGTAAAATTTTCAGACTGTTTGAGGACCGTTAGGGCCGAAAACAGTCTAATAATTTTACACATAGAATTGTATGAGGCATATATCTTACTTAAGAGAGCTGGGTTGTAGTGGCCATTTTTAGACTATATTGATCTCCTTTAAAAGAAGAGCTCCATATAAAGATATACAAAAATGATCAAATTTTAAAACTAAAATGTATGAATTTTTTCTTTGCCAAATGATAGTTGACAGCTTAAGATATCATATCTAAAAAAAAAAAGTTATATCTGATGGTTAATTTGTTGACCCCCAGCCTCCTTAAAACATTGCTATTTAAATGTCCAGAAGTTACCTGGAGGAGTCCGATAATTACACAATAGGAGTTCAGGCATCAATAGTTTTCTACCTGAAACCATCTAATAATTAGACAAAAGAAAAGAGAAAAAATTTTTTCTTAAGACAGTAAAATCAGTGAGTGAACTCTTTTGTTTCATTCATTCAGTGGCAGTCGTTTGGCTCAACAGGAACTATGGACAGTGGTCAGGTGATGAAGGATTTTTTTTATGACTCTTTATTGATACGGATACAGTGTTGGATCATATCTTCAAAATGCATTTAAAGTAAAAATGCGGATTTTTATCTAAAGTTTTGATTGGATGATATAATGAAAATCTTGGGTTTTAAAAGTGCGGTCATTGACGAACAAACCTCGTTAAATGAAGAGATTCGCAGACTGGTTCTTTATCAGAAATGAATTTAAATTGGCTTATTCACAGTGCTGTATCGAAAATGCTTTACAAAAATCCGAATGGAAAGTGTTACTTTTGAGGAAGGTTAAAACTCCAGTTTCTTCTTGGATTTGCTATTTTTAACAACTTAATTTCCCCGCGTTCGCTTTCCCTGATTTTTTTCTCCCTAACCTTTTTTTGGTTTCTGGACAAATTAAACCTTGATTTCACTCTAGTTGTTGTTTTTTAGTTTGAACATATTTTATTGTTTATTGGCATGACGTCATAGCAATGTTTTAACCATTAATAAGTCAACTTTACTAAGTGTTCAAAACTTTGTATCGCCTCTTTCTACTTGAAAAACTGTAGTTTCGATAATTTCTTATACCATTATTATACATGTACCCCCCACCCCCGCCTGAAAAGCTGTAGGTAAATAGTGATGGATTGGATGTGTCCTTCCCTCCGTACATCTTCCGTACGTTCGTAACACTTGGGGGTTACCCATCTCTTATCTGCAACCCCTCTTCCACCACTTGATTACATTTAATGAGACTGTCACAGAATCCTTATTAAATGGGTAGTTCCAATGTGCACTTCCTGTTTTTTTTGGATTGGGTAGAAAAATCGGGTTTAACACAGCAAAACATATAGACACTGCCGCCCTTTCCATAACATGGGGTGTATCCATCTCTTATCCGCAGCACCTCCTATACCACTGAATAAAATCGAATGAGACTCTCAGAATCTTCATTACTTTACATAGTACAATTATGCACCTCCTATTTTATATTCTGATCGGACAGCTATTTGAAGTTTCCCATAAAAAAGGATGGAATTTGCAATTATACTCACATGGGAGAGGGGGGGGGGTATCATTTTGTGAGCTCAGTGCTGGTAGTACCTCTAGTTCATTTAAAGCAAAGAGACCCTTCTTATGTACTACTTTAGCTCCTAAACATTTTCATAATACATTGAAACGCTGAATTCAAAATTAAGTTCATTTTCTAAAATATACATTACGTATATATGGCATGCATACGGTATCTTTTAAGTTTTTTGATAAGATCGAAAGAATGTGGACGCATTTAATTTGGATTCGGCAGGAATCTAGGCGCACCCATACCGGGTATGTTAATGCGCAACCTCATTGCATCTTCCCAAGTCAAGGGTTTCTGATCCACTCCGCTCCACATAACGTGGAGTGGAACAGAAACCCTTGACGTGGGAAGATGCCTCATTATCGTTTAAAAATCCAAATTAGTGTGTTGCAATGAAAGAACATTTGAATATATTACCTGTCCATGACCTTCGGTAGTTTATTTACTGATTTATCAAAATTAATTTAAGATAAAGTTCAAATCTGCAATTTTTTTTCTACCATTAAGATTTTAATACATTTGTATTTAGCTATACCAGATTATTTATTTAGCTGTTTACTAATTACGTATAGTGATACTATACTTCGTAAATGTTAAGACATATAAGCTTAAATATTGCTAATTTCAATGTTACGTATCACTTTCTTTTGTGCGTAATTTTCTTAAAATCTGTCCAACTATTTTCAGCTGACCACATTGTCTGCCTGAAACGACATTTACACTAAAAGAATGATTCGTACACTCGATTCCTGCAAATTACACGCCAAATATGCCCATCTTCTTATTTGAGAAATCAACATTGATTTAAATACAGATTCGCTTACATTACAAACTGTAAATTTAGATCTCAAAAATTGGATACATTGACAAACAACGAGATACAATGAAGCTTTGGCACGTGTACGCTGAAAAAAGTAAACTTACTTTTAAGATTTTACATTTTATTTAGCTTATAGCTGCAGATCTGTAGCTCGCTGGTCTGAAAAAATGGGGTTGGATGGTCCCATTTTTTTCCGACCAGCGAGCTACAGATCTGCAGCTATTTAACTTATAAATACTAGTATTAATCAATTGATTTAGCATCTTTGCAAGCCAAGGAATTCGGTCGGAAATTCCTTGGCTCTCGAAAATGATGATTCAGGAAAAAGACTAGGATCACACTCAATGTATATAAGAATAGATATGTTCCTCCATGCACTTCTATTTCATATACTGAATCACTTTCACTATTCCTGAAGTTTGTAAGCCTACCCACAGTCTCCCTTCATTATCCACACTCAGTCCGAAAGGTTTCTCCAGCCCACACTCGTCCACACATCTCAGGAACTGTCCATTCTGGTCTAGAATGTGAAGGCAGGCATTGTTAAAATCGGTCACAATGATCCGACCGATGCGATCTGTCGCAATCTGACAGGGAAGAAACTGGGCTTCCCTCCTGGCTTGTGTTCCTTCGTATCGAAATCGAACACTCCCTGTCGTGCTCACCACTACCACGTTCCTAGCGTTGCTATCAGAGACGCAGATGTCGCCATTGTTATTCTCTTCCACAAAGATTCCATCCTCACCAGCTGTAAGTATGGGGTTTCCTTGATCATCTTTATCGATTTCTTGGGTCACTTTCTGTCCCTGATACCGGACTACTTTGTAATGATTTTGATCAGTTGTATTCATCTCCTGAACTGGTACAGAACAGCCCCAGAGAATGCCAGTGCCGTGGGGTGGTGATCAGTGTCTCTCTTCTACCGTCTCTTACAATGTTCACAGTTCTTTTGTCGTGGTCACTGTAAATCAATTCCCCCTGCTTGGTCAATGATATATCAGGGGGAAATGCTTTACACTTTGTGAAAAAAGCGTCCTGCATAGACCCGTGTATGTTGATACGTCTTATGGTTTTGTCGCCTCCGCGGACCCAAGCTTCTTCTGTTCCAATACAGACCAATGAACCTAAAGGCGTTACACCAGTCGGAATGTCGACGACGCCTCTAAATTTATCTAAATAATTCCTTTCAGATGAAAAAAAACGTCCTCGGTGAGACTGGGTGTTTCTACCAGCGAAGCCTTGTATTCACCTTACTCTACGCGGAGTCCTCTTTCTTGTTTCGTGCTTTGCTTTAAAAATGGAATCGACACATCAATGTCCGTATGAACATCACTATATTCGCCCAGCTTTGATTTGTAGTCTGTGACTGCATGCACTTTCTTAGACTGTAGAATTTCTTGGTTTTCCTTAATTATTTGTTCTAATTTCAGCACAGAACTTTGGAGCATAGACCGTTGTTTTTCTAAGCTTGTTATGCTTATGTTCTTCATAGATCTTAAGGTAGCCCGCACCGTGTCGAAGAAAAAAAGAAATAATTGACTTCATTTCTTCCGATTCTCTTTTTATTTCTTCTTTCTTCTCTAGAGCTTCTGTCGTATCTATGACAGTATGGCCACAGTGGGGGCCCGTGAGGCACCGGAAGCAGACAGGGACATCACACTGTTGACAATGTCCCTCACATCTCTGGTTGGAATGTAATAAACATGAAGGGAGGATATTTTGTTCTTTTCTGTTATGGTAAGAGACAATACTGTGTGTTTGAGACTTCAGACTTTCTATATGGTACCTAATACATCCTCCACATAAAACCACGTGGTACCTGTTATAGAATTGCTGGGCTGGGTTGTCACAAATTTCACAGGTGATCACTTCTTGAGTCAGGGTAGAAGGCGTATCCATCTTTCTGTAAAATAAAAAAAATATGAGCGTAAAATTTCTCAATCTTTAATGTACATTTTTTTCCTCTGATGGATTGAACATTACATGAAATTTGTTCAGAATTACTTATTATCATATTACATTAAAAAATGCAAAAATATCCTTTACAACTTTTATATTCCATCCAATCCCCCTCTATTAATGTAACTCTATAGACAACAACAAATGCCATTCGGCTTTCGAAGTTAGACTTTTTGGAGGCACAAACCTATATATATAGTTTGATAGGGAATCGAGTTATGTCATTGCTTTAAATGGCTCTGCTTTGCACTAAATGTGACAGATAGCAAATTTATATTTCTGGACAATAAAATGCAAAATAAATAAAATAAAAATAAAAAGCCGGAAAAATATGTAAAATTCTAAATATTATAGGAAATCGAATTGTTGTGTCATTATGATACAAGCTTTGGCCTCGAGATTTTTAAAATGCATCCTTGTTTGTAGCTGCAGAACTGTAGCTCTCCGCTTAAAGTATGGTATCTGTTAATTAACCAAATATTTTACTCCTATTCCTGATACTTTATTTACCTTTAGGGCGCATTATTTTAGCAAGAACCCCACCGTATTATGGACGTCGGAGTGCGAATTTTTAAAGCATTCTAAGGCCATATATGGCTGTTTGTAACCGTGGAAAGGTATATAAAATATCAGAAATACAAGTAAAATATGGTTATAGTTAAATAATATAATTTTTCAAGCAAGGAAACGCATATAATACAGAAATAATACCCCAAGTATGGCCGTAGGAACCGGGGGGGGGGCACGGGGGGCATGCCCCAAATAATTTTGCCGATATATGGAATACTATAGAAAACATAGCTACTATAATTATGCTTGTGCCCCCTCGACAAAAACGTATGATGACCTTTTTTTGCTTGTCAAGGAATTTCTGGTAGTTGATAGTGCCCCACCAACTAAAAATGTATGGCTGTGCCTCCTGCCCCCGCCCCCCTCCAACTGAAATTGCTTATATATATATTCTTATCGTGATCTTTTTTTTCTGCAAGGGCTTCATTATCCCCCTGTCATTGTGTAACTTTTGTATTTAAAACCCCCTTTTGATCTTTTGACACATTTTGCAGTCGCGGGCACACCACTGATAATGGCCCGAGGCACGTGGTATCGTGGGAGGGGTGGGGAGGAGTGTCTGCCCCCTTTTCCCGATATTGTCGTCTTCTGTTGTTATTTTAGCACGGAATAGGTTTTTTTGAGTGAAGGCTTTTCCATAATTCCATTAAAAAAAAACTTCTTTTCCTTGTCAAGTTTTATAAGGTACAGTTTTCATGGCTTCTCATCCCCCCCCCCCCTCCCCCCTCCCACAATCTGAAATATGATGCCTCGTATCTAGACCTTTCCCTTTTCATAATTAGGCCATTCCAAGTTTTTTCTCAGTTTAGTGTCCGCCCTTCTATCAAAAACCTTACCTATTCGCAAAAAACACATAATTAGCCAAAAAATAAAACACAGGCTTAGTAATCATGAAAATGACGTCATTCAGAGGATTTGATTTCATGAAAATATTTTTCTCATGGAAAGATCTATTGTTAAACAAAATCAAGGCATTAAATGCTTATAAAATACTATGGATAGATCATTGGAAAAATCTACAGAATTAAAAGGTTTCGACCGGAATAATCAATTTCAGGACTCCTGATTTTGTTTGTTTTTTACTGATACGGGGTGACAAAAACCAAGGCCCACAAGGACGCTAAACATAGAAAAAACTTGGAATAGCCTTATTTTCATGAGATGAATTTTTCCTTCATACTTCGTCTTTTGTATCGACCATTTCAAACAAGGCAGATTTATTGAGATTGTATCAATGGTATATAAATTCATAATGTATATGTATGTACATGACTCGGTGGTGGATCTAATGATTAGAACATTATGGATTCAAGTCAAGTATTACATTGTATAATTGAAAGGAATTTCATCAAGACCGCGCAAGAGAGAAATCGACTTACAAATCAAAATTAATACTAAAGTATTCCTCAGGCAATAAGGTCCACCCACATCTTATAGGAATTTCTCTTGTTTTTGCGCTGATGATTTAATATTCACTTGCTTCCTAAACATCAAAAGCCTTTTATCTCATTTTACAAAAATACATTCTTTCCAAAGATTGAATCTGGATTTGCTAGGGATGTGTGATTTTATCGGTATACCGGTATATCGTGATTTTAAATTGCGTGATAGGTATCGTGATTTGAAGACTAAAATACCGGTATTTAGGTACATATTTATAAATCCCAGAAATTATTCATTTATTTGTTCAATCTTTCAAATTACAATTACATGAAGTGTAAAAAAATGTTGAAAACGGTAAAAGAACGGCATCATAGCATCCAAAATTGCTTCATTTATGTAAATAAAACAATGAAAAATGTGAAGTTATGTTTTTCCAGCAGATTTTTAAGGAAAATTTATGAATATTCATTTAAAATTATTATAAAAATTGCTTGTAAAAATATCAATATCATGATATTATCGTGATATTTTGGGAAAATCTTGATATATCACGGTACGAAATTTTTGGCGATACCCATCCCTAGGATTTGCATAAAAATACAAAATATTACTGTACATCAATATTTTTCAACTTATTATCTTTTTTTTATTATAATTTTTTGTTATACAATTCCTCTGATTTTAGTTAATTTTGGGGTATTGTTCTGTTCAGTAATTTTCAGAAAAAATTCTTTGTAGTACTTCTATATAGCATTTTCAAAATGTTCCTAATCACGTGCTGACTATCCTGCAGAATGCCAGCATTATAGTTCAGTGTGGATAAGAATCCCGCAGTTTTCTGGACTGGAGAGAGGAGAGAGGGGAGTATGTACTGTCTAATAATTATGTTTTCTATATGCTCAAAAGGGCACCTGATCTAGAAATATATAAATAAACGACTCCTGTGTCCTAGAAAGTCTGGTTAAAAAGATGTTGCTGCCAACCCTCATGTACCCTTCCCTTCTGTAAATTTGATATTAACTTTGAATAAGTAATATTAAGTGAATATAAAATATTTAAACTATGTATTAAAGTTTAAATACCCGACAAGTTCCACGAGCGAGCTATTTCGCGTAGGTATTGACAGTCTCTGCGTCCTTGACGACAAATCATTGTGAAATTTCACCAGACCCAAATTTTTTGATCATTGCATTCATTTTGCGGAGAAAAAGAAAGGAAAGATGCCTCGCTTACGATGCGTTGTGGACTTAAAACTGAGATCTGTAAGTATTTTCTGCATGTGTGTGCGAATTTTAAATCTATGAACTCCATAATGACAAACAATACACGTCTTAAATCGATAAAATGCAATACACACTGTGGATTTTTATTGTTTTAAATGGATAGAGATTTATCGACAGATCATTGATTAAGCCATATTGTCTCAGGTACTAAAACTGCTAAAGCCAGAAAGCAGATGTGTTACAACAAGATAGGGCAATTTAAACTCTGTTACAAAAAAAGTTCATGTACACCTAATTTAAAGCTGTCATTTGATATTGATCCACATATCGCCACTCGACTTTACCTGTTTACCTATGTTAGGTGAAGGCTCCAGGTGTGTATTTTCTGAGTCGGGAAGACGTTTGCCTGAGTGTTAGTCTCTTTGGACAAAACAAGAGTACCAGACTCCTGACATCAACATTTCCCTTGTATATACAACAGGACCTCGTGTTTGATAAGGTATTCACTGAAAAGGGGAAAGGGGGAGTCATACACAACAGGATATCAAGTTAAGTGAGGAAGGGGGAGGGTTGGCATTCAGCTCAGCATGTTTGATAACGATATAAGACATGGATAATCATGGGGGAGGGAGTGAGGAGTAAATATCATTGTTTGTACATCAAAATATAAGTTAGATTTAATTTAGCTTTGAAGAAGGGAATGAGCATGTGGACAAATTCCCCTAAATTGATAGCAGTAAACTTTAATTCATTAAAAAAATCTCTCAGATAAATTGGATTGCTTAAAACCAATGATCTTAAGTACTAACTTAGAGTGCTGACTGACTTAATTGTGTTACAGACTTACTACACCTCTGGTTTGTCTTCAGAAGTCCTTGATCGCCTCAGAGGTTAGTGAAGATTTTACCTGTGTATAGATTTACATGTATTTTACCTGTGCATAGATTTACATGTATTTTAATGTTTTCAAAATCTCCTACCAGCATATATAATTAATACATTGTAATTAGGTTCACCCTATAGCATTCCTGAATTTTTTTTTACAGATGAGTTGATTGTTTTTGAGCTGGTACAATTATCTCGATATGGAGGCTCGGTCAGACTTGCCTCTTACTCGGCCAGTGCTAGGGAAGTCCTTTTTCCAATCACTTCCGGATCACTGTATCACTCCTCCCCAATCCGAGAAATACCGCTACGCAGACTTATCGACTTTCCCGTACGTATTTGCCTTAAAATCAAAGAAATCTCAGAAAAAAATCTCATCTTAAATTCTGTAGAATCCATTTTGAATTTTCATCTGGAAAAGTGCTACAATATGAAGTTTCATCAAAATTAGGATTGGAATGTTTATATATAAATGAGTGAGCAAGCAAACATTGCAATAAACACAAAATTTTTATAAAAACTTGAGCAAGATGTGCTGATTTTAACTAATCTGAATTTGCAACAATGTTCCACTATAAAGGAATAACTGTGATAATAATCTGCTCCTCTATTTGTTTAAAGGGTGAAAATCCAATCTGGTTAGAGTTTTCTACAGTGACAGACATTACGGAGACTATTTTACCCGAGGTCGACCGAATTCTCTACAGACCCACAGTGACAGAAACTGTATTATACAAGCCTATTCTGACAGACACACTACTCTACAAACCAACAGATAGGTATGGGTTACGTCCCCTGACAGCGTATGAGAGGTTGGATCTAGAGAGAACAGAGCGTGCATTACAACGCAGCAGATCTTTGGAAAAAATAGAACTAGAACATCTCAGGGCCCTCAGCAAATCTCGAGAACTTGCCCGACTTGAACAAGATCTAGAGGTCAAGAGACGGGAAAGACTCGCTAGAGAACAACTCGACGCAGTGAGTATATCTTAACTTCAGAATGATTTCATAACCTTTTTATAGGAAAATCTCAGCTCTAAGGAAGCTCAGGTATAACTTCAATCTATGCAACCTGTATAGGTCAGTCATAATAACTCAAATCATGGAGATCAGTATAACTCAAAATTCATAGAGATCAGTATAACTCAAAATTCATAGAAATCAGTATAACCCAAAAATCATAGAGATCAGTATAAATCACATTAAAAGGAAGTCAGTAAATAACTACAGTATATACAATGTATTTAACTAATGTCTACTGAGAAAGCTTTGCATCTCTGCTTGGAATTTTACCTTGTACCCTTTAAAGAACAATTCAGTCCCTTTTTTTAATCAAGAGTAAACTCGCAGGCTCATACTCAGTATGAATATACACCAGGTACCTAGGTAACATTGGAGCAAATATAATTCACAAAGGTAAGATTTACTCAAATGAAATACTTCTACAATATACAATTACTTATACAATATACAATACTTATACAATATACAATACTTATACGTATACAATACTTATACAATATTTTAACTTTTCAGTCTCTGCGTTTATCTCGAGCCCGGTATCTGGAGGACCTGGAACTCGACAAAATCAGACTGGCACGTAGAAATCTTTACCTTTGATTAACTCAGGTAAGCTTTTATAACTCTCTCTAATAGAATATATATAAATATATATAATATGCCAGTACCTAGTACATTTACCTGGCTGAAAACATGGTTATTCCAGCCAGAATATTGGATGGAGACAGATTCAGTAACATATACTAGTATTTAATTAAAATCCCTTCCACGAGATATCTCCTATTTTTATAATAGTACTCCTGTTATAAATTTTTTTGTATTATGTATTTTATATAATTATGTATGTATTGTTTATTTCCTGAATCTTCTTAAATAAGAGATGTTTAAATGTTGCTTAAAGTGCACATTAATTGTCACCAAATAATTGCCTCCCAAAATTTAGAGGATACATGTAGTATACTTTTTCAAAGCAACATAATTTCCATTGAAAATGTCAGATTTAGTCCGCACTGTGCATTATATGGTCAACTAATATTCGATTATGCAGTAAAACATGCTTTTAGCAAAGTGCCAGAGACAAACAATATTAATTCAATCTCATTGTATCATGTAAGCTCATTACATAAAGGCTTTAAAAAATCAATTTGCTGTAAGCATGTTTTACTCTAGATGGTGACAATTTTTTTTGTATCCAACCCAAGAATTTATTTCAGGCCTTAAATAAAATGATGAATGTTGACTACACAGACGATGTCAATAGATTTAGACGAGGACTGAGGATCTAGTGATGTGAAGTAGGCCTCCATCTTTGTTAGTCTGTCTGTCTGTGTATCATCACTGGTCTAGGACCTGAAGGATATTTTAGGATAGTCACTTCTTGTCCAGTGGATAAAATTTGTAGTCTGTAGTCAGTCTTGTTCAACCAAAGTCAATTGCTGACTTTACTTTTATTAATGCTAGTGATCTTTTGATATTATACCTGGTAATACACATGTATTAATATTTAAGATTTCATTAATTTTTTTGAATTGATAGATTATTGTTATTCCATATTGTCTGTTTTTATTATATTATCATTAACACAGCTTGAACTTGAGGACATTTTTGGCTGGAATGTTGTTGCATAATATTGATAAATGGAGTCCAATATCAATGTGATCTTTAATTGTAAGCAGAAAAGATGTTTAACTGACCAAGCATTGATCAGGACATGATTGACCAATCATTGATCAGAACATGATTCAGACCAATCATTGATCAGAACATGGTCACATGGTACATATCCTATACACTTGAACCTTATGATGAAGCCATTACACAGTTTCATTGTGCAAATTGACTGATTAAAGAACAACGAGATTAAAACTAAAAATCAAAATACAGATAGTGTTTATTTTTAGATGTTGTAGTTTTATCTTCTTTTTATAAATATATATACTGTATGAAAGGTCATTCATTATGATGAAAATGTGACATTTAATAACCTAAGTTAAATCAGGATCTGAGCTTTCACTCCAAAGATTTCTAATTATGATTAGAAATAGATGTCTAATTATGTGGGCATTGAGTTAACACTTCTACCTTCAATTATCATTCAAAGGTTCTTTATCAGCAATGATTATTTTTTCGTTAGACTGTTAATATTTCAAATATTTTTTTGTAATGATTCATACATATGTACTAATAAAAAAATACACTGTTAATGATATAACTCATTTCTAGCTTGCACTTTTGTTCAGCAGCTGTAAATTTGGTGCTAACCACAACAGCTGTACAATAGAGTACATTTTATGTAATTCAGGGTATAATATTGAGTTACTCTACAAGAAGTCTTCAAACTTACTTCTATAAATTACCTTGTTATTGTAATGTATTTATTGCATCCTAATTGTTATCAATTGTTTACAGTGTTCTTTTTGCTATTTTTAATATTATACATCTATATATATTTATCTTTTAGAATCTTTTCATTAATTAGCAGCAGTAGAAATAAATTTTTATGAATTTCAATCTATTGTCTTGTTTAATTTCCATTATAACAAGCACAGTCTAAGAGTATATTGCATTAGCAATACTAGTCCCCTGCCAGCATGCATAGTCTGGTTCCCCTCGAAAGTATTTAGTTATAAAATATATTTGCTCAATGGTTAGGATTTCTATTCAATAATAGAGAGCTTAAATGGCAAACAAGTTAAACATGTACTATATGAAATCATAGACCTAAAGATTTTTCCTATGTATGCCTATGTAAAACTTTAATTCTCCATTGTGGCCCCACCCTACCCCAGGGGATCATATTTTGCACAAACGTGAAACTACACTACCTTAGGACGCTTCCATATAAATATGACCAATCATGGCTTTGCTGTTTTTGAGAAGAAGATTTTTAAAGATTTTCTTGTGTATTAATTAATATTCCTATGTAAACCTTTGTTCGTTCATTGTAACCCCACCCTACCCCGGAGGGTCATGATTTGAACAAATTTGAATCTACAGTCCAGAGGATGCTTCCATATAAATTCGACCAATCATGGCTTTGCTGTTCTTGAGAACAATTTAAAGATTTTTCCTATGTATTCCTATGTAAAACTTTGTTCTCTCATTGTGGCCCTACCCTACCACCGGGGGTCATAATTTGCACAAACTTGAAACTATTCTACCTGAGGATGCTTCCATATAGATATGACCAATCATTGCTTTAATTTGCTGTTCTTGAGAAGATTTTTAAAGATTTTTCCTATGAATTCCTATGTAAAACTTTGATTGTCCATTGTGGCCCCTCCCTACCTTCGGGGGTCATGATTTGAATAAACTTGCATCTACACTATGTAAAGAAGGTTTAACATAAGTTTTAATTTATTTTGGCCCAGTGGTTCTTGAGAAGAAGATTTTTAAATGATACCACCAATTTTTACTTATTCTAAATTATCTCCCTTTGAAAGAGGGCGTGAGACTTCATTTGAACAAATTTGAATTCTTTTCACCCAAGGATACTTTGGGGCAAGGTTGGTTGAAATTGGCTCAGTGGTTCTGGAGAAGAAGTCGAAAATGTGAAAAGTTTACAGACGGACAGATCTAGACGGACTGCATGCAGACAAAATGTGAATAACAGACTTTATATATCTAGTTCTAAATACAGACATATCATGTGTTCTGTATCAATAAAGAAGTCAACTGAACATGGACCCTGTGCCAGTGGAACAATTGTATCAATAGAATATGACTCTGCCTACTGTTTCGTTAGTGACTTTTGGCCTCCGCCTGCCTCCTCATGGAAAGACAGATGTCACTCATGGCCCCAGCCTCATGTTGTTGATGATATAGTAAAATATGGATGTCACTTTGTAGCAATTGGACATAAGCTAGGAAGTCATGAAGACCATGAATGGAGAATTTCTTTCTCTCTGACAGAACAAAAACTTGTGTATGCAATGAATCGCTGTCAATTCTTAACCTATGGCTTACTTACATTGTTCTTAAAAGAAATAATTAACAATGGAGTATGTGATGATGATAAATTACTGTGTTCCTATCACATGAAGACAGCAGATTTCTGGGTGATTCAACAAAATACAATCCCTTATTGGTGTCCACAAATTCTCCTTGGGAGTTTCTGGGTCTGTTTTAAACTCATCCTCAAATGGGTGTATGAAGGGGTCTGTCCTAACTTTTTCATTCCAGGTAACAACATGTTTCTGAATAAAATTCATGGTGAAGCACAACATCAATTATTTATTAGACTATATGGGTTGTATGAGAAGGGTTTAGCATTTCTGCTACACAGTCCCTCCATTAAGTCTTGTATTATAAATGTCCTACATAACCCCAGACTCTCCATCTGTACAGATGAACATTCTCTGATTTCTGAGATTGAGTTTGATAGAAACCTATATGGTGAAATACACCGATATTACACAGTATTCAAACTGGACATACAAGGCTGTATGAGATATCTACATAAAACAGAACGGATGATAGGTTCATCCCTCCTGACACAGTATCAAGTCCAAATGCTACAGAAACTTACAGCTTCTGTCCTTCAGCTAACTGTTTTTATATTTCACATGGAAACTTACATACATAAAAACAAACTGAGGTATAGAGCTGACAAAATCACCTGTCACATGCTGAAATTAGCAGCCAAGTTTGCTTGTATAACTGACATGCTGTACATAGCGATGTATTATTACAAGACACTTAGGTACATGGAAGCTTTATCTATTATAGAGATGATCAAGGTCAAGTTAGCATCGCAATATGTGATGCATAGATCAAATGTAGATACAGAGATGTATACCGAGGCTTTAGGGGGACAGTCCTGGTCTAAAAAGATGAGACAGGCTGTAGCATGGGATATCGGACTTGACATTGAAATCCATTACATCAGTGAATTGATACCAGAACAACAGTCTGCTCTACAGAACTACTGCCCTTCATTATATGTCCCACCCTTAATACTCTTATACATGTTAGAGATCTTGTGCTACAGACATGTAGACACAATGAGAGCACAAACAGCTCCAGATGATCTACAGACCCTAGTTTACTATGATCAGGGACAGCTTATACCTTTAGATCTCAGAGACATATCGTGGCAGATTCTGGGGATCTGTCAACAGGTGACAGGAAACCTCCAGGCTGCTCTATACTCATACAAACAATCTCTCAGGCAAGAACCGTTCCACAAAATACGCACAGCTATAGAAATGAGAATACACGAAGTGTGTCTACAAAATCAATAAATTAGTAATATAAATGATAACTATTTGTAGTACTGTTCACCTGATAGAGTTTATAACCTTTATCATGTACATTGTATTTTTTGAAGAAGATGTTAATCAATGCAAAATGAAAAAAATGAACTTTTTAAGCTTTCAAAAAAAAAAAAAAAAAAAAAAAAACCAAAAAAAAAAAACAAAAAAAAAAACAAAACAAAAAAAAAAAAAAAAAAAAAAAAAAAACAAAAACAAACAAACAAAACAAAACAAAGAAACAAAAACAAAATAAAACAAACAATCAAACCAAAAAGAACAACAACAGAAATTATGAAATATGAAGATAAGGAACAGTATTCAATCTCGAAAGTCCAATGAAACGATACAAATTTGAAGCAGAGCAAACACGGACCTCAAAATTTAGAGGTGGGATCAGGTGCCATGGAGGAGTGAGCATCCCCTGCCGACCGGTCACACCTGCCATGTGCTCTTTGTCATGATCGGGTTATAACGGAGAAATCCGTAGACAGTTCAGTGTATAAATAATGGCCTAACAATAAGTATGAAAAACGTCAGTCAGCATTTGACTCGATGATAGGTTGCATGTGCTGACAAGGTCATCTGAGTATATGTATGATAGTTATACATGTATTGTATTTTGTTGTGGGTTTTTTATTATTAGGGTGTAGTTGTAAAATTAAATCATACAAATAAACAATATATTTTTTCAATGTGTACCAGGAACAATGTAACATGAATTAAGAAATAAAGTTCACGTTTTCATGAATGTTGCAGAATAACCTCCGAGATCGAGAAACTTTGTTTGAAATTTAAAATCCGAGGCATTAATCAATAGAACCCTGTCCAGCACCAAACCACTTTAGCAAGTAGAATATCAAAAATCTTTTAATAACAACTTGCCTTCTAGATGCAAAGAAGCAGAGAAGATATTCAATTAAATATTGCATTTTACTATAGATGCAACAAAGCCAACAAAGGAGTTTCCTCCCCTGATCAGATGGCAGGAAGTTCCCTCATTATCTCCATATCCTCATGTTCCGAAACAGCCAGCGGTTAAAAATGAGAAGAAGGTCTGTTCAGTGACCACATTTGTAAGTCTGACCTCGTTAACTTTTCATGAGGGCTTCTTTGACGAGGATTTGGGAAGTAGCTCGAGACGAATCTTGTAGAACTTTCCCTGGCTTTCGCTGGCTCCATTTCTTCCTCCTCATTCGCTTCAGCAATGCAAGGCGTCTTCCTTGCTTCCCTGACAATCAACATGGCGGAATAAATCAAACATTAACTATATAAATATTGCTTTAACTGTTGTATTTTTGTGTACATTTTATGCAGAAGCAAGAAAAGCAACATAGCTACTTCCTTTATTTGAAAAGAATCTACAGACCAATTCTATAAAATTGTGTCTCCTTACACTAGTATCACACAGCAATAATAAATCATAGGGTAAACCATAGCTTTAGTGCATGGTCTCTTAGAAATGACTTAACAACGTGGCATGCTTTATAGTGTGTTTATTTACATTATTGACGCCACTTGATAGAGCAGGTTCTGAAAAATTTCTTCTCGTATTTTTATTAACAGTCTGGAATTTTTACCAGTCTCTTCTTCAGTATAATCAGCTTATTCAAATAATTAACATCTACAATATATCTTCCAATAATTACAACAAGTTTAAAAAATAGTTACTGTGTGTTTACTTATTGATTAAGAACATTTACATCATGCATTAAAAAAGTGACTCCATACTACTATCAGATTAGAATAGATGTATCATTATAATGGTATACACACAGTTACACATAAAATGAAGATTTCTGGACTAGATATAATGTAAAACAAGGCTTTACTGATTTTACATACTGTATAAAAGTTTCTTCCAAGTACCTTTGTACCTGATAAGAACTTTTATCCTATTAAAAGAATTATCATAAAACAAAATTTATTACAATAACAGGTTTCAGATTAAATGGAATCACTAAGTGAAAATATTACTATACAAATTAGTTATGGTTCCCCTATTATCTTTCATTGTGAATAATCTCCTTAACATTCATTACTAAGCAGAAATAATACTACAAACAACTGCCTCTGACATACCAGCTTCTAAATAATAAAAGTTTTTTGATATAAATAAATGTGAAATTTATTAGTATAATGGTTAACATGTGGTTAATACATGTATATTGTTTTTACTCAAAATACGTTAAAAACATTGAAATAAAATCACCTTAAACATTCCTATTTCTAAACTTTATTAAATATATGTGACATACAAGGTTATTAAAATAAAAATGACCAATAATTTTACACAGGAAATAAAAGTAGATTGATGTCAACAATACTAAAAGTAGATTGGTGGTCACAGTTAATAAAATATTGTATAAAAATATAAATCAGAAAATGATTTTAAAAAACTCCAGTCTCATTCATTTTGATTATCACAGGAAGATGTTGATATACAAAAACTGTTACTCATAAAATGAAAAATAAAAATTTAATTGTGAATATAACCATGGCAAGTTGATGTTTCTGAAGGATTGAACTCTGGTGTAATGGACATGACAGAAATATCATTTGGCACTAGTGTTTGCTAAGTATTGTGACATAGAACAAAGGATTGCATAGTGAAGTGCATACATAGAACCAGAGGATTACATGCTACTATAGAAACAGATCATATCCTTCTTCATTGTCTCAACTTTTATCCTCAGTGGCTTTATTCTGGTCCTCACTTTCAGGTTTGTTTGTGTCCTCACTATCAGTTTTGTGTGTGTCCTCACTTTCAGTTTTGTTTGTGTCCTCACTTTCTGTTTTATTTTCTACATTGCTGTCCTCAGTAACATCACTTTGGTCATTTTTGGCTTTGCTTGTGTCCTCATTTCTTTTATCATTGTCTATATCATTGTCCTCAGTGATTTTATTCTGATTTCCACTTTCTGTTTTGTATATGTCCTCACTTTCATTTTTATTCATGTCTACATCATTGTTCTCTGGTATATTATTTTTATTTCTACTTTCTGTTTTGTCCTTAATTCCAGATTTATTGTTGGTATTCTGGTCCTCAAGCTTGTTTGTGTCCTCAGTCACTCCCTCACCCAGTATACTCTCTATAACCTCCTTAATCTCTTCTTCCTTGTTTGTATCAGTCACTTCATCCTCTTTTATTCCCTCACCCTCTATACTCCTCATGTCCTCCTTAATCACCTCTTCCTTGTTTGTATCAGTCACTTCATCCTCTTTCTTTCCCTCACCGTCTATACTCCTCATGGCCTCCTTAATCGCCTCTTCCTTGCCTGTATCAGTCACTTCATCCTCTTTTATTCCCTGACCCTCTATACTCCTCATGTCCTCCTTAATCCCCTCTTCCTTGCTTGTATCAGTCACTTCATCCTCATTTATTCCCTCTATACTCCTCATGTCCTTAATTCCAGATTTATCATCCTCAGTCTTGTTTGTGTCCTCAGTTACTCCCTCACCCTGTATATTCTTTTTACCCTGCTTAATCTCCTCTTCCTTGGTTGTATCAGTCACTTCATCCTCTTTTATTCCCTCACCCTCTATACTCCTCATGTCCTCCTTAATCCGCTCTTCCCTCCCCTGTTCCCCTCCTTCCCTCTCTGAGTCCTCCCAGGCAACAGTATTCAGGTTTTGTTTCTGTAAGTTATCGTTTTCCTTCTCCATCCTGTCCATGTAAAGCTCAACCTCCACAATACCATAGTCCTCTTCATCCTGTAACCAGCTGTAAATGGAATTCAATATCAGTGGTACACAAAATGACTTGTTATCAATAAACATATTGACACTCCATTACTATACAAGGAATATTTTTGTACAGGACTGTATCTCTTTTTCTCCTGTACCCACTGGAAACTGGACTGTTTACCTGTTACATGTGAAGATATATTTGTGTTTGGCATCAACTCCCTCTTTTACAGAAACTTTCTCCAGAAACCATGCAGCCTCTGCACCCTTCCCATCATGCCCTATTATAATGTTTTCCAGGCGCCCTAGATCTACAGCTTCAACAATGAATGTGTCCACCTAAAAAGATATTACAAAGTTGTTAAATGTATGTAATTCTCCAGAACTCTTTTAATGTCTCTGAAATAGAAAAAAATCGAACTTTTCCAGTCCTGAATTTCTTTTTTTGTTCATTGTTGTTGATCAGGTAGCGCCTGCCTGTGTCACCCAAAGTCCCGAATAGTGTGATGTGAACTGTGGTGTCTGTCCCAGAATTCTCCTCAGTTCCTGTTTCCACCGCAACCACGTAATGACGCACTGAATAAGATAAAGCAGAATCATTGAGCGGCAGATTAAAGTGTACGTCAAGTACGTACATGTAGTGTTTTGAGTTGGCTTCTTTGTCTTGTGTTTCCTTTTATACAATGTAAAAATGAAAATTCTACTTAATTTAAATATGGATTATCTTTTTTTAAACTGATGTTTGTGGTGAAAATAAATGTTAACAAAATACATTTGAGAAAAGGGATGGAGGGGCAGGGGAGTGAGGGGAAACAAGGAACATAACACAATTGTGATTTATTTAAACAGCACGAGTGAAAAAAAAAAACAGAAAAAGAGATATATAGAAGAAATTCAATGTTTTGTAGTTAGATCCGGAAGTTATTTCAGTCGTGTAACAGTGCTCACTTGTGTAAATATAAAATATTTTTTTTTAAAAAAATCCTGTTTCACTTGTGAAATAACTTCCTTATCCAACTACGAAACATTGAATTTTCTGTTTATTACATTTTCCCGGTTTATGTTTCGCCAACATTATCAAATGTATGGCTTATTTACGATTTTTTTTCTGATACATGTTAAATGTTTCTTTAGGTGCATATTACGTCCGAACTAGTAAATTAATTGTTCAGAGAACAATTAGAGGCCTTTCCACCTTTTTAAGTGTTTCCGTGTCATCTGAGCTGAAAAAAAAAGAAGAAAAATGCAAAAAATGAAAAAAAAAAAATATGCTCCTCCAGCTGGGCTCGAACTCAAAACCCTTG